GCTCACCATACCTAAGTCTCCACCTCCAGATACAGGAAAGTGATTACTCTTTGTGGCTGCTTTTGTTTCCAGTTTTGTCCATATGATTAGTTCTGACCAATGAGTTGTGAGCAGAAGTAAAATGAGTTTCACAATTCAAAGCATTTTATTACAGGGACTTCCAGAGATCTCTTTCTTTTTGCCATGGTGAAAGGCAATGTTTGCAAAGTTAGCTGCTTCAACAGCCTGAATACAGGAGGCAGACACTGAACAGAACCCCAAAACCTTCCACAATAAACATGTAGCCTAAGTGAGAAAGAAATTCACATTATAGAAACTCATTGGTTTTGGAAGTTATTTATTTCATCTGTCTGTCTATCTATCTATCTATCTATCTATCTATCCATCTATCTATCTATCTATCTTTGAGACACAGTCTCACTTTGTCGCCAGGCTGGAGTGCAGTGGCGCCCATCCCTGCTCACTGCATCTCCACCTCTTGGGTTCAAGTGATTTTCCTGCCTCAGCCTCCCTAGTAGCTAGGATTACAGGCATGTACCAACATGCCCAGTTAATTTTTGTATTTTTAGTAGAGACGGAGTTTTGCCATGTTGGCCAGGCTGGTCTCAAACTCCTGACCTAAAGTGATCTGACTGCCTCAGTCTCCCAAAGTGCTGGGACTACAGGCTTGAGCCTCTGTGCCTGGCAGAAGTTACTTTTTAACACTTAATCCAGTTTATTCTGACTTATCCACTTGGGCATTTTTCCTTCCTTGAATGGTACTGGGTCTTCTGTATTGTTCACTGTCTATGAATCTACCCTCACATCGATTTTTTCATAGAGTAATCTTGTAAATATTTAGGGAGTTAGAATTCACTATGTAAAGCTGTTGGAGAACCCATGACAAATCCTTAGATGTACACATTTATGTAACACAGTTTGGAGAGAAAGTTCCGGAAATATGCTCTTTAAAGAAATAAGTTCTTTTAACTTTTTTCTAGAAATGCATTTTAATTTTTTTGGACAATCCCAAGGAATGTATTCAGAAAGTCACTCATTAGAGAAAAATTGGAAAAATATTATAAAGTGGTTTGAAAAAATACAATAAATGTGAACACTTTTCAAATTGTTCCAAATTTTCTATGGTTTCTTATAATAAACCTAAGCAAATCCCAATTTGTTTTCAGCATTTAATGATTGAAGAGTTCATACATCTTATCCTTTCCCTTCCAGACTGAAATAGCCCAAAAGTATTCAAAACAACAGAACTGTGGTATATCTAACTATATCTAATCCATTAAGTAATATCTTTGGTCATTCAGGAAATGCTCAGCATCTTAATAAATAGAACCACATTTTATTATTAGAATTGAAATCCCCATGAACTACATGAAGGACTTCATTAATCCTAAAATTAAAAGTTAGGACTCACGAAGTATTACAAAAATAAGAAGTATTACCAAAAAAATTACATGTATCCTAAGTATGAATATCCTCTTTTGTGACAAAGTTCCTTTTGGATGGGATATCTCTCAGTAAGGACATTGATACTATTCATCAGCATATCAAGAATCAGTACTGCATTTTAAGTTAAAATTAAGCACTAAATATTATTTCTGTTTTCCTCTTTTGCATCTCTTATAGAAGACTGCAGCCTAGACTTAGAGCAAGCAAGGTTAAATTGCTTTAAATGTTTTATTTCATTACACCAAATTGATGTAAATGGTTAAAAATGGCTCAAATTAATTTTAAATCTAATACATTTTCCCAAAAGATTGTAGGATTTGAACTTAGAAAGGATCCAAATCCAAATCCTATCTCTGCCATTTACTAGCTATGTCATTTTAGGCAAGCCGCTTATTTTCTCAGTGCCTATTTTCTACTTTCGCAAAATTTGATCACTACAGCATCATTTAGTTTGTAGTACTGTTGTGAGGACTGACTGTGGTAATACATGTCAGGCATTAAAAGCAGTCCCTTGGTTCAAACAAGCATATTTCTATTATAATTTCTTTAAAATAAAATAACGGAACCATGGATGCATTCGTAAATATATACAGTTGCTTAAATTATTCTGAAAGAGTAATATAGAAAATGTGTTACTTTTCACACATAGAGCTACAATTTTCCAAATATATATCACTTGTTTCAGATGTATCTAGAACCAAATAATCCCTACCATTTCGTCCTTATAGTGCTACAAGTTAAAGAACATATTTTTTGCATTTTAAATTAATTAATTAAAGTATAAAGTTACTGGCCAGGCACAGTGGCTCATGCATGTAATTCCAGCACTTTGGGAGGTGATGTGGGTGGATCACCTAAGGTCAGGAGTTTGAGACCAGCCAGGCCAACATGGAAACCACATCTCTACTAAAAATACAAAAATTAGCTGGGCGTGGTGGCACACACTTAAGGTTCCAGCTACCCAGGAGGCTGAGGCACAAGAATCACTTGAACATGGAAGGGGAAGGTTACAATGAGCTGAGACTGAACCACTGCACTCCAGCCTGTGTGGCAGAGCAAGACTCTGCCTTAAAAAATCTAAAAATAAAAATTAAAAAATGAATAAACTGTAAAGTAACTGAAAGATGAGACATAACTTGTAAAATCCAAAGGAAGATGGTAAGATTGTGAAGTCGTTTTTGGTAGTTCTCTTTAGGAAATTCAAAAGTTTTAGTATTTACTTCAGTAAGTTTCATCTGTAAATCCAGTGAACATGTATAGTATTTTTACCAAGTTTCTGTTCCAACACTGATGTACTGTCCACCACCATGGCAATGGTGCCTTTCTGCCATCTAGTGGAAACACTAAAATACTACAGGTATACTTGAAAATTTAAATATAAGGCCTCCCAAATGAACAAAATCACTTCTCTTGTTTTGACATTCTGAGTTTTAAATCTTAAAAGTGGATCTGTGTGTTTGGCATGGTGGCTCATGCTTATAATTCCAATGTGGGAGGCTGAGGTGGGTGGATCACTTAAGGTCAGGAGTTCAAGACCAGACTGGCCAATATGGTAAAACACTGTGCCTATAAAACTACAAAAATTAGCCAGGAGTAGTGGTGTACACCTGTAATCCCAGCTACTTCAGAGGCTGAGGCAGGAAAATCACTTGAACCAAGAAGGCGGCGGTTGCAGTGAGCTGAGAACTCGCCATTGTACTCCAGCCTGGGTGACAGAGCAAGACTCTGTCTCAAAAAAAAAAAAAGAAAAGAAAGGAAAGGAAAGGAAAAGAAAAAAAGTGGATCTGAAAATACTGACTTTGTGATATTAAAAGAAGTACTTTTTAAATTTTATTTATTTATTTATTTATTTTATTGAGACCAGGTCTCACTCTGTCACCCAGGCTGAAGTGCAGTGGAGCAGTAACTCACTTCAGCTTCCAAATCCTGGACCCAGGTGATCCTACCACATCAGCCTCCTGAGCAGCTGGGACTCCAGGGTAAGGCACCACTTCTGGCTAATCTTTAAAATTTGTTTTAGAGATACGTTCTCAATATTTTCCTAGGCTGGTCTCAAACTAGAATTATTTAAATTAAATGCAGTATGAAAAAATACATGAGATATGAAAGAATATGTAAAAGGCACAACTTTGAGCAAGTTGAATAGTGTACCCCTAGTAATATAAATACCTCTCCATGAAGAAACAGTGTAAAGGATGTGATGATAAATGTTTTGTATTACTTCATTAGTCTTAACTTTTAATGGTGCATCAATTGGAAATCTTTTTTAACATATTTTCATACTTAGACCAAAAATATCCATTGCAAAAATAATGATTTAACAGCCAATGCACAAAGGAACAAAACAAAGGATGAAATATATGTGTCCATATGTACAAATGTAGACACACACTCACCTAGTCATTTTTTAGTATGATAAAACAAGATGCCCATTATCATTTGCTATTTTGTGGTTACAAATTTGTCCAGGTTAAGAAATGGCCACACCAGAAAAAAATGATTAAAACCTCTAACATCAAGCACAGTGATTTTGTTATCACAGAATGTTACCTTACTAACATAAGGCTTCCTCATAAAATAATTATCAGAGCTCAATGACCCAATATTTTCAGTCAAAACCCAATTATGTCAAATAAGAGAGATATCATAAGTGATTTATTTTTGAGCGTTTTTCACATATATCCATGGATAGGTAGGAAGATTATTTTAAATAAACATTTTTAGGTAATAGATGTTAAATACACGGCTGAAGAAAGACACATTTCTGAGAAGGTGAGCAAAGTGATCTCCAAAAGGAAATCACACTCTAATACTTGTGACACCTGAGACCATGAGGACCCCAGGCTGCAGTTCACCCCTCATCTTTTCCCACCCCTGGGGTCCATCTCATACTATGAGGGAGCTTCATACAGATGTCTCTGTGACACTCTAGTCCACACATACAATCTTAGACCATGCCTTCCCCACATACCCCACCTCCATCCTTATCCTAAAAGCAGGCTCTGCAATTTGGATCAGGAGTGGGGTATCTTGATTACCTCCAATGTATGGAGTATTGGATGGGCATTTCACAATGGCCCCCATAAGCTCCACACCAACTCCTCACTCTCCGTGGAAGGGCTCTGCAGGAGGACAGTGAGGTTAGGGTCTACTAGGGACTAAGAGTGGTACTGGAGTAAGTGTGATTTACAAAAGGGTATTTTCTAGAGGGCTATCTGGTGGAGAGATGATGTGAAACGATGTGTCAAAGGGAATCCTTATGTTCAGCATTTTTCCTGGCTTCTGTATTCAAGGGTTTGATTCTAGAATATAGAATGTCAAACTTTCCATGGAAGCAAGGAAGATAGAAACCAAAGACAGCTGTCCTGGTGAACTTCATCCTGATCTACGTAAAAAATTTGTTTCTCCGACTTGTAATGTCAACTACGTAAACCAATTTTCCCTTCAAATATGAGGTGTTTATCTTGTAGTCTGTGTTTCTTTTGCCAGAGGCATGAACGTGCCAGATATAGACAGCATTATTTGATTAGAGGCAGACATATGTGTATACTTACCAAACTGTTCATTTTTGAAGATGAAGAACCTGCTCTTTGCTTTCTTAAGCTATTCACGTCTTCTATATTTCCATCTTTTGGTTTCAAAATCATTCTGCTACTCCCTGCAGTGCCTTCTGATGAAGATCGCAGTCTCCTCTCTATAAATCTTCCTTCACGAAATGGACTGAGGCTACTGGCAAGAACTATAGAAAGGCAAATAAATAAAAATGAATATAAATATTTAAATTTAGTTTTTATAAATGTTCCACTGAAAGATCATGGAAAACTCTTAGCATTATTCAAAGCTTCTCTATCACAAGAAAACTTTTAAATATATAGCATCAGTTTAGTTCACTTATTCATGTTATCACTTAGTCATGTAATCATGTAACCACGGAGTCATCCTTGGTTGCTTTGTAGCTCACATTAATCACATAAACAAATCCTGTCCTTATTTCCTTCAAACTGTATATAGAATCTGATTTCTTCTACCTCTCCTTCTAAGATCCTGGACCAAACACAATCTATGCTTGCTTGGTTACCACAATATTTGCTACAATTATCCTTTCTCTGCCTACTCCCATCTGCCTCTCCCAACACAATCTACATTCCACATGGTAGCCAGAACCATATACTGAAAACGTTAAGTAACAGCCATCACCACCACTTCTCTAGCCAAAAGGTGAAGTTTTTCAAATGGCATAACAACCTCTTCATAATATGACCTATATGACTGCTCTCTGGCTCCAAATCAGGGGCAGGAGGGTCACTCTGTTCACTTGCTCACCTTTGTAACCTCATCTCCTGTTCTCCCCTCCTTCACTCTGCTCATGCCACACTGGACTTTTGCTGTTCTGGTACATTACTGGCATGTTCCAGCCCGACACAGCTTTTGACCCACAACCTTGCACTAATACATTTCTCTCAAATATCTGTATGGCTTATTATTTAAGTTCCTTTAAACCTTTACCAACATATTACCTTGGGTATCATCCTGCTCACATTTAAAAATGCAAACTGATTTAAACTTTATTCTGATTTAAACTTATCCTCAGCAGTTATCACCATCTGATATATACAGCATGTTAACTGAGTATCCCCAGTAGCAAGTAAACCTCAGGAAGGCAGGGATCAAGGCCTGTTTTGTGTATTTTACATCCCTACTGCCTAATACAGTATTCAAACAATAAATATTTGGTGAATGAATGAATGAGTAAATGAATACATTGTTCTAATTAGGCTCATCTACTCAATTAAAGACTGTCCAGAACCTATTAGTCCAATATACAGCAGTTCTTTTTAAATAACTTTTTAAGCCAATGAATGAAAGTTAAATTGCCAGAGAACTCAACATTCTATTATTAGTTCTGATATGATGTACACCTAATACACTCAGATGTGTATCTAGTACTGGCTTAAATGTTTCATTAAAAATACAAACTAAATTTAGCATTTTGAAAGTTAATGTCTATACCAACTCTTAGTGTCTATACCAATTCTTTCTTTCATAAAATGCATTTACTTAGCTGTCTTAAAATTTTTAAACTTCAATATTATAAAATCCTTATAAATTGCACACGAATATTTTCACAAACTAAAGGATAGTATACCGTCCTTGCTGACACTACCAGTTAATTTAGCCAAGAACACCCAACACATTATGGAATCAGCAAAATTAATGTGCTATTGTGTTACAATTAGGATCTCAATCAACATATTAATAGTCGCCAAGATAACTGGTCATTCTCTAATTTCGAGAGAGATAAAAATACACAGTATTCAATTAGGCTTTGAGGAAAGTCATCATTACTAAATAAGAATTTGATATGTCAGGATAATTTGATTTCTATTCCTTTTTTATGTAATTTTAAAATTGTCTGGCTTTCAATATCAAGTCTGTCATTTGCTAACGAGGTAGCCCTATAAACTTATTTAACTTACTATAAATTTTATTTATTAATGATATGCAAAATATTTATAAGGACTCTATGAAATAGTATATGCAAATTTCTTAGTATTTTGGGGCAAATATTAATTGTACAAAAGAGTAATCATCATTAATATCATCATTATCATATTCTCATAATTATATTACAGGTAAAGAAACTAAGCAGGTAAGACTAAAGCCAAGACCACAGACAAGGATACAAAGTTCATAAAATGGACAAAACGTGGTCAGGTGCATAAAAGTGATCTTGCATCAAATGGGAAAAGTATTAAGACAGCTGGAAAATTAAGTCACGCATTTAAAATTTTTAAATTCTATGTTTATGGGTGAACTATATAATCCTATTACTCATGACAATATGTCATGTAAATTTTATTTAATATTTTAAGTAATGGCATGAAGTGAAGCATAGTTATGAAGAGCCGGAGCTTTGGATTCAGAGAGTTGTAGTTTGACTGCATTACTTACCAGCTGTATGATTCTTTAGCCTCTGTTTTCACATTTGTAAAATGGGAAACTTAGGAGCCTACGTCATAGGATTTGTTTCCCAACCGATTAATTATTAGTTTTGCAACTGTGGACACATAATTTATCTTTGTTCCCACTTTCTTGGCTGCAAAATAGCTTATAATAATAGTAGTGATTTCAATCATTTTTAATTAATGTATACAAAGTATACAGAATAGTATGTAGGAGATAATAATCATCTAATTTGGGAAAATTATTATTAGTAGTAGCATTAATGATTATAGAGAAAAAGGAATTAAAATATGTCTAAGATAGCCCAGCAGGTGGCGTAGTCAATAATTTCCTTGAACTGAATTTCATGTTAAAAAACAAAGTTTTCAGTAGCCAGATTAAAGTGATTCATATATACTATCACTTTTTTTAAACCAAAGAGAAGGTGTCCAAAGTTGGAGAGTTAGTTAATGTCAGAGGCAGAGTTGGAACCTATGTCTCCAGGTTCCAAAGATACGTTTTTTGGGGGTTTTTTGTTTTTATTTAAGCTTACAATTCTGTTGTTGTATCTAGAGATAGGAATTATTTATGTTGAAACATGGATCCTATTTAATAATGAAAGCTTAGTTAACAAAGGAAAACAAGTTAAATTATACAAATTTTATAGTGATTTTAGCTGGAATATACCCATTTCATTAAATAAGAAATATCAATGACTCTATAATAAACTTGATAAAAGACAGTCCTTACTTGAGAGAAATCCACATTACAAACAAAATTACTTTCCTTTCACTTTCTTCTGAAGAAATAAGCACCAATAAGCACCATAACTAAGAGGCTGCTTCTCAGTTACAGACAACATAACTAAGAAAAAATGAATAATATTGCTCTATAACATTTTCAGAATAATACAATTGATGTAAGTTTAAAATCAAGCAGGGGAAATATTTAGTACAAATTATAAATAAACATTTAATACAAATTATAAATATTTTGAAATAGGAAACTATTTCAAAAGTGAAAAACAAGAAAAATTTGGTTTCCATTCATGAGATGGAGTAAGAAAATTAAATAAATTATAATGAAAATTAATTCATATCATTTGTTATACATAGAAAATCAGCATACCTTTGGCAGGATTTGCTTCATATCCATAAGACGTTTTGTGAAAAATATGATGATCACCAGAAGTAGGTATTATCTTTGAATCTGAAATAGGATGGATCCCTTTAACACGTTCAGCCATTGCTTTATGTTGTTCATAAAATCCAAGTTTCCTTGGGGAGCTTGTCCCCAGCATTGTTTCACCATTTTGTAACCCTATATTTTCTTCTCTTTCAATATCTGCTGGTAGGTTAGTCTCTGAGTGGCTCACACTTGTAGCAGGTAGTTCAGCAATTTGTAGTAACACTTCCTTCTGATTAGCAACAGAGGTTTCTGGTAAGGAATTAGATTCAGTGCTACATTGACCCTCTAACCTAGATTTCCCAGGAGACATAATTGCACAGGGAACATTTCCCATAAATTCTATTGTTGTCTTTGTAACAGCAGCAGGATTGAGAGACATCTGAGAGGTAGAATCATTGTGGCCAAAGTTGTCACAGTGGGATGCCATGCTTCCACTTTTAGAAAATGCATCCATTTCAGACACAGAATCTTCAGTCAAAGCTAAAAATTCTGAAGGTGTCTGAGCTGTGGTAAGATCAGCAGAAAGCAAAGGAGATTGTAAAGAGCTTCCTGCCCGTTCTGTTACATCCACAGAACAGGATGGCGAAGCTCTTACTAATACAGGTTCTCTCTCTTGGTACTGTGTAACTTCCAAAGAGAATTCAGGCTGTTGTACCAATGAAATGGATTGGCTCTGTAGAACTGGCTTCGAAAATTTATAGTGAGATGAAAAAGATTTAGGGAGTAGCTTCCTTGTTGATTGCTTAATAGAACGACGAGTTTGGTCTTCTGTGAATCCAGAATCATCCCCCTCACTTTTGCCGGAACTTAGACAATTTATAAAGACATTCTTGTTAGCTGAGTGTTCTTTTTCCCTTTCAAAATCCTCTGTTAAAGATCTCGTTATTTTCTTATTTCGTGAACTACTAAAACCAACAGAATGTCTTCCCCTGGTCTTAATATGTTCTTCCAAACTCAGTTTCTGCATATTGCTGTGACCAGGTTGAGCACCATTTGAAATACTAAGGTTCTGGTTGGTAGGCTCTTGCTTAGGCTCACTCCCCTTCTTATGGTGGAAGCTAATGGAAGGAGTACGAAATATGCTCCTCCGTTTACCTGTACTACCTGAGCTTGAGTTAGTGCTGGAAGGAGAGGAACTGTGGACACCAACTGTATTACTGGAAGAAGGTGAAGAAGGAAGAGAATCATGTCTTCTGCTAATACTTCTTCTGAATATTGGCAACCTAGAGACCAGGGTAGATCGTCTTGATCCTGAGTCCCCCATTGGGACTCCAAGACTTGCACTGTGAAAGCCAACTTAGCAGCCTGAGGAAGGTTAAAACAAAAAGAACAAGTTAGTAGAATTCAACTACAAATAGTACATTTTAAAACAAAATATTGTTTTTCAAGACACAAAATAGAATTTGGTTTAAACTAAAACAATGAATAATAAAAATCTGGTCCCTAATAAGGATTTTTTTAATTTATAAGTCATAAAAATGACCTAATAATTTGCATTGACATTTTTTAATGATGCAAATATTTCAAGATTAACAAAAATATTTAAAGCTTTTTCAAGAGTGTTGGCTTTGGAGACACCAGGTCATTATTTAAGACGCAGCCCTGCTACTTACAGCTGTTTCATAATTTTGGTAAACTGTTTATTCTTAACCTTTATGTTTATTTATTTAGATGCAGTAGGCACGTGACAGACATAAAGAATTTCTATCTGGGTAAATACCCCACTATGGCTCCTGTCAGACACCAGCAAAAGTATTTTCATTTGACACCACATGACTCAGCAAATTACGGACCCAAGATCAACAGAATCACAGACAAGACAATGGTATAGGTGGACACCACAATCGGCTCTCAAAGAAAAACCAATTGCTATAGACTTTTCTCCTTGGAGTTTGATTTGGGAAACAGAGAGATAAGCAGGCCATTGGAAGAAGAAACTAAATCAAAAGGATAGAACACAGGGTTACAAACAAGTTAAACTTATGAAAGAACCACAGGTATCAATTAAAGAAAAGACTTGAATGAAAACTAAAACAGTTGGTAACCTTGAGAGAAGTGAGAATACATACTGAGAGAATCAGAAACATAAAAAATTTATAAACCATACTAGTATCATTATATTCAGGGTATCACTGGAGAAGATGAAGAAGGAGAACAAGGGTGAGGAGAGGTGGCACCTACAACTCATCAACTGCGATGTACCAAGTACTTTCTCACAGATCATCTCTTTCACATCTTATATTTCTAGAAGTAGGTAATAAGACTATGAATATTTTACAACAGAAAAGCAATTTGCCTAATGTCATTCGGCCAACAAATGGTAACACAGGAATGAAAAACCAAGCCTTATCTAACTACAGTGTCAGCTCATAAACAGCATGGTACAAACTGCATTCACTAAAGTGATCAGTCATGAACTCCTGCTGCTGAATGAAGGCTCAGCTATCTTTTTCTACATCGGGGATTCAAACTTATACAGCAAATATTGCTATTGTGATGACTGCCATTTTTCACTAATTTTTAACTGTATCTGATTTCGTTCCTGTTTTGTTTTTGAGTGTTGCTTAATCCTTCAACTGTAATGTACCTTCTCCCTTTGTAAATTGAATCAGACCCTTTCATTTTCTTAGTTTTTACAGTCTAAACTACCTGACTAAATATTAACAAATACTATACAAAATTTAAAATCCTCCATTTTATCAACCTTATAAATGTGAAAATTGATCAAGTAAAATACTTTAATTTCCTTGAACAAGTATGTGACAGAATGGCAAATATTAGCTTTCAGTTATGCATTCATAATTATTTAAGATTTTACTCCAAACAACATAAATCTAACAGATTTGTATTATGATATTTAATGGATAGTTTTTCACTACAGTCAATGAACGTGGGTGAATTTTAAGAATTGATTTTAATTGACAGGTAACAATTGAATATACTTATGAGGTATACTGTGATGTTTTGATATGTATTTACATTGTGAAATGACTAAATTAAGCAAATTAACATAAACACCCCCTCATATACATACCATTTTTTGTGATGACAGCATTTAAAATCTACTCTTTCAGCCATTTTGAAATATGCAGTACATTATTATTAACTATAGTCAGCATGCTGTGTAATCAATCTCTAAAACTTACTTCTTCTAACTGAAACTCTGTACCCTCCGAACATTATTTCCCCATTCCCCTGGCCCCGGCACCCAAGCACCCTGGTCCCTGGTAACTACTCTACTTTTTACTTTTAGGAGTTTAATTATTTAGATTCCATATATAAGTGAGATCACGCAATATGTGTCTTTCTGTACCTAGGTTATTTCATTGAGCATAATGTCCTCCAGGTTATCCATGTTGTGACATGTGACAGAATTTCTTTTTTAGGCTGAATAGCATTTCATTTTATATATAAACCACATATTCTTTATCAATTCATCCATTGATGTACACTTAGCTTTGTTCCATATCTTAGCTATCACAAATAATGCTGCAATAGGCAAAGGAGTACAGATGTCTCTTTGACATACTGATTTCAATTCTTTGACTATATACCCAGAAGCAGGATTGCTGGATCATATGGTAGTTCTATCTTTGGTTTTTTGAGAAACCTCCATACTGTGTTACACAGAGGCTAATTTACATCCCCATCAACAGTGTGCAAGAGTTCCCTTTTCTCCATATGAATTTGAATTTAAATCAAACTATATATGAATCACTCCCAAAACATTTCTGTATTCTTGTAAGGCTTTGCTTGAAGAAAACTTAAAACATAAACAGACATTTTAGCTCTTAAAATTTTTCACAAATAAAAATGTGTGATTTTCCTCACAGCTTAGATTTTCCCAAATGTATACAACAACACATTTTTCATGACTGTATTCTTTAAAATGTTTTAACAGCCATGATTTTTTTCATTTATATGCAACATTTATTTCCATTCCATTTCATTTATATGCAACATTTATTTCCATTCAATGCCTATTGAAGAATTTTGTTCTAATTAGAGCATAATCAACTGTAATAATTTGCAGCTGGTTGTGAAGCTATAGACTTCAATGAATAAATGTCAAGATATCAACCATCACTACTGAAATATTCAAAATTAATGTATATTGAAATATTTATTGGCCATTTTTAAAGTATTTCCTGTAATTGGATTAAAAGTAAAATAATGAGTCACTCCCATATCTCTTTAGCAAGTATTAAAAGGATTTAACTAGCAAAAAAAAAAAAAAAAATTTTACACTTTTAAAATCACTCTTGCTCCTAAATACTTAATGAAAACCACGAGGCTTCCACCAGGCATGAATAATCGATTTAGGCTAGTGATATGCTTGTCCTAATTTCTTAAAGTAAAAACATCATAGATACTAAAATATATCTGCACATTAAATAGAATAACCTAGAGTAGATAAAAATCTACCAGAGATAAAAACCCTTCGCATGTCTTTTATTTTTAATATGAACTCATATTTCCTCTTGAGAGCTTCCCAGCTAAATGAGAGAAAAATAGACTATGAGTCAGGATTATCCATATTCTTCAAAAGGCTGTTTAAAGCTTGGATGCTCTCTACATCTCCAAATTCATTACTCCTCTCCTCACACTTCATGCTCTGCTTACCATGATGGCTGCCATATTATAATCTTTTTTTCCTTTTCTTTCTTTTTTGTTTTGTTTTGTTTTGTTTTTGGAGACAAGGTCTTGCTCTGCCACCCAGGCTAGAATGCAGCGGAGTGAACATAGCTAACTGCAGCCTAAAATTCTTGGGCTCAAGCCATCCTTTTACCTCAGCCTCCCAAGCGACTGGGACTACTGACATGCAGCATCATGCCCAATTAACTTTAAAAAAAAATTCATAGAGACATGATCTTGCTATGTTGCACAGACTGGTCTCAAATTCCTGGCCTCAAGCAATCCTCCTGCCTCAGTGTCCAAAGTGTTGGGATTATAGGCATGAGCCACTGCACATGGTCATGACTGCCGTTTCTGATCACTTTCACCTTCAGACCTTTGGAGATTTGGGTCTACCAGCTTGGGATGCCCTTCCTGTAACTCTGATACAGCAAAGCCTCCTACTGTTATAACACTGCCCCTTCCAAGATGCCATTGCTGACATGTCCTTCCCCACCTGACACCCCATTTCCGCTGTCTCTCATTTAGACTGGTACTCCTCTTTTACGTATCCTCAAGTACTAGCTTACATAGTAACCATCTGTTTATTTATCTCAATTTACTATTTTGTCTTAAGCTTCTTAATGACAAACGCCATCTCTCCTTGCTTTGATATCCAGTGCCTGATAAAATATGCAATTTGTACCTATAGAGTACACAGATTTCAGAAAATGAAGTTTGAACGTCAACACTTTAGGATTTCAAACATACATAAATATATTTTCTGTCTCACTGCTATGAATAAATCTCATAATCCTGAGGGTAATTATGCTGAATTACAGCATTTAGAGATTCATATTTATTGAAAGACTTCCAACCTGTAAAAAGTTCAATAATCTGAAATTTGTAAATAAAAAGTTGAAAACATGAAAAAAAATCCTGAATAAGTTTAATGAAACAATATGTCATTACAGCAACTTCAATTATTTGTGTAAGATAATTTGTAAATTATAACTGCTAATTTTATTTCCTTTTATAAAGAATATATTTTTTATTTCTTTAACTTTGAGGATTCTTGCAGTCCAGGCTCTTTCTACTAGAAAGACCATGCTATCGACATCTCAACACTTTCTAGTTTATCTCTAAATGTATTTCCAAAATGTTTTAATGTTTACTTTTAAATAAATGGGAAAATAATCGAGGTATTTTGAACAGCTAAATGATTCCCACAACACTGACAAAGGCCTTGTGCCAGTAAGGTCAGTGAGGACAATGTGAGACACATTAAAAGGATGGCTGATCAGGACCAGGTGGGTGATACGTCACACAAAAGAGAAGGAGATTGTCAGCCTAAGGTAGAAAAAGCCAGAAATCACATAACTGATTAAATATGTTTAATTAACAATTTATTAAATTTGTATATAATTTAGCGTTACTGAATACACTAAGTTATTCTCAACAAATAAACATAATGATCAAAACAAATAATTGCTTATATAAGAAATGTCTGTCTTTGGATCACTCCTAAAAATGATTTGACACAAAACATGGTCTACAAGCAAAGATAGTATTTGATTAGATTTGTATAAACCAATCCCCCAGGTAAAAAGAGAAACAGGGTGGGTGGTGTGCAAGAAGCATGACAATGGGACCAGCTACAAAAGGAAAGAAGACCACATTTGAAGGAAATT